GGGCGGCCAAACCAAAACATGGCACAAGTCCATGAAGTCACTGACAAGTGAACTGAGTCATGTTGGTAGGTGTAGACTACCTGGTTGGGGACCGCGAGATGACAGCAACCGTTGGTTAGAGACCCTGAATGACATGGCTCAAAATCGTTTGCAATGGCGCAGGTGCATCCACTCTCTGTGTTCTCCCAAATTCTAATCTTCTGAATTCTTCATGTCCCTTTTTTTCCTCTTTCCAAATTTCTTTCACTGGATTATACTCTTTAAATAACATCTCCAAACCCTAATCTTCCCGATTACTGCTTATACTCTTATTACCTCTACCACGACGGGATTTGAATCGACAAGTGCATCTCTGTGCTAATGTGGTGTGGCAACTCGAACTGATGTACGTACGTACGAAGTTCTACGTTGTTACTGACTGACTGACTGAATGGGTAAAGGTCTAGTGAATGGAGGCGTTCTTCGTAAAGTTTAAATTTCAGTCCTCGAACTGATTTCGTGGCTCGACGTTGGATACACTCCAAAGTGACCTTGTCCCTTTGGAGTGAGGGGGAAATACTATGTTTCCGTACTCTAAATGGGGACGGATGAAACTATTGAAGATTATATGGAAAGTTCTCCCGTCAAACCGGCCAAAAATGCGCTTCAACGTTGCCAGTGCAAGGTTTGTTCGGAAGGCATTTTTGTCACAGTTAGCGTAAGACTTTAAATCATGGGGCACCAGGACTCCTAAATCTTTTTCGACTTGGGATACTACTAGAGAGAAGTTTCCTAAGTTGTAACTGTAGTTTGCGACATGTCGCAGATGGACTACTTTACACTTTGAAGTGTTAAAGGTAGGTCCGTTATCGTCTGCCCAACTTTGAATTCGAGTCAGATCCTCCTGAAGTGCCTGTATATCGTCTTGGTTGCGTATCTCTCTCCAAAGTTTCACGTCGTCGGCAAAAAGTAATAAGTCTGACGTTACCTGTTGAGGAAGATCATTTATGTAGATCAAGAAGAGAAGAGGCCCTAGTACTGAGCCCTGGGGGACCCCACTAGGACATTCCATAGCCTGAGATAAAGTGAAATTAACCCTAACCTTAAAGTGTCGATTTTTTAGGTATGAAGTAAGCCAATCGATTAGAGGTGGTTTGATACCTAGTCGTTTGAGCTTATTGATAAGACACAAGTGGTTAACCTTATCAAAAGCTTTTGAGAAATCAAGGTAAATGATATCAACCTTTCCCTTGCGATCGAGGATGCTTGTCCATCTGTCCACCGCAGTCAGCAGGTTGGTTATACAAGAGTAACCCTTCCTGAAACCATGCTGTTGGGGTGAGAAGAAATTTAAGGACAGTAGATAGTCATTTAAACCGTCGCATATCAGGGACTCCATGAGTTTTGAAGGTAATGACAGAAGAGCCACCGGCCGGTAACTTGAAGGTTCATTGCGTCGACCACCTTTGAAAATTGGTGTGATGTGAGCCAACTTCCAATTTTCCGGTAATTTGCCTCGGCTTAGCGAGTGTGAAAACATCACGCTAAGCGGCGTTGCCAGGATTGAGGCTGCCTCCCTCAGTATGGCAGGATGAACCATATCCGGGCCAGGAGAAGTGTCTAGTCTTAAGTGCTGCAATTTCCGGAACACCAAGTCAGCGCTTAGGTCCACTTCGGAAAGTCCTGTGGAATTGCAGATGAAACTGTCGTCAGTAAAGTTGATGTCAGCCGGTTGAAATGTTTGAGAGTAATGTGCCGCCAGAAGGTTAGCGGCGTCGCCATCGTTGTTGGTCGGGCCGTTAAGACCTACCAGTTGAGAAACTCCTGTTTTGGCTTGACGAAGAGAGGCTGCATAACGGAATAGGCTTCTAGGGTTAGAGGCGAATTTGTCCATAAGCTTTGTTTGGTACTGAAGCCTGTCTTCTCTTATAGCCTTCGTGCATATGTTCCTGATATGTTTATATTGCCTATACGCTCCATCGTTATTAGTTCGTTTGTATTCCGCCCAACAGTGCCTTTTGCGGCTTAGCAGGCGAAGGGTACGGTTCTTGATTACTGTAGGTGGCTTGCAGCTTTTGGGAACCGTTTGAGGAACTGAATGGTCTGTAGCACATAAGAGCGTGTGCAGTAAGAAGTCCCAATGACCATCCACATCGAGTTGAGGGTGAACATCCCAAACCACCTGTTGTAGATAGTCATGTAGAGCTGGCACATTCAGCCGTTTAAAATTCCAACGCAAATTATTGTTGGGATACCTTAGCTTAGTTTTGATGACAAAACTGAAGGCTATGACGGCATGATCGCTCTTTCCCAGAGGAGCCAGGATTGAGAGGTTGTCGACTAGGAATTCTTCGTTTGTGAATACACAGTCTAAGCGCGATGGTGTCTGACTGTTTCTCCAACGAGTTGCCGACCTCACATTTTCATATAAGCCCAAGTCATCGATGAGGTTGAAGAACCGAGCTTCAATTGAGTTGTCGCCTCCAGTGTACGTGTGTTCCGCGAAGTTGACTCTAGGGAGATTAAAGTCCCCTAGAATCAGGATGTGTGTGAAACCGAGACGGATAGAGCGGGATAGTCCTTCCAGCATACGACTATCGTACTCGATGTCGGCAGTTGGCTTCCTGTAAATGACTCCGACTAGACACCTCGAAGTACTAGACAATCTTACAGAGCACCATATGGATTCCTCAAGATTGTTAAACTCGAGGTTGTGAACTTGGTGCACCTCCAAGCAAGAGCTTATGTATATGGCTACTCCGCCCCCAATTCCTGTTTTTCTGTCGTTGCGGAACAAAGTCATCCCAGGTAATGCTAACTCTTGGTCCGAGAACTGAGAAGATATCCAGGTTTCAGATATTCCTATCAGATGGGCCTTATTAGCGTTGCTAAGTTCACGTAATTCATCCAGTTTGTTTGGTAGACTCGCGGCGTTCATATATAAGCAGTTTATGCTTTCAATTTGGAACGCGTGAGCTTCGTCCTGTTTTTCTGTATGAGCCTTATGTGAATGGACAGGTAGCCCACCTATATGAGGTTTGCCGAGGTGGTAGGCCCTGTCCTTTACACGTTTTTTTATCGTTTAGACAGTCCACAAGTGGAATGGTCAGCTCCAACTTGCCTTTGTTCTTGGTCCTAGCTTCGTATGGCCTATCCGGGTGCATGTGGATTCCAGGTGGCAATCGACGTCTGTTGGCACGAAATGCTTCCAGAACTGCAGCCGCCATGTGGGAAGATGGGAAGGTTATCTTCATTAGACGAGGTCTAGGATCACCGTCCTTCTTGGCTAGTCTCGTCACATGCTGAGTCAGTATGTGTTTGAGCCTCAAGGACTGTTTGATGAATTTCCATTCCCTGATGTCAGAATTTGATTGAGTAGGGTCTGCATTTTCCGGTATACCTTGGACAATTATGTTTCTTCCGCGGAAAAACTTCTCGCGAGATTCTTTAGGGATGTTCCGTATGATATTGCGCTCAGAGTACGGTATGTCGGGCAATATTCTTACGTTACCATCTGATTTCAGCAAGTGACTTGCTAGCAAGACGTCCTCTACGTCGGTAGCATTCTTAAGTGTTACTCGGAGAAGCCTCGGGTGATTTAGATGCTTAGAATCCTTTCCTCGAGTGAGCCGGGTGACCGTCAAAGGCTCTATTCTAGGAAGTTCGGTGTTCAGGCATACGTAACACGTGGCCCAACCATCTCCGTCGACGAAGATTCATAATCTCATCAACTGATTCACCATCATTCCCTAATACCCTACGTCTAACCTCACTATTACTTACCCGATGATCCCAACAGATGCAAGTAATATTTCTAAGGCATCTGTGGTCAAATACTAGTAGCTTACGACTATCTTTCAGATTTAAGCAACTTGATAGTTCGCAAATATCGCTGGCGCAAGCTTAAGAAAACTGGTAATATTTCGTGACTACGATTAAACGAATTTTTGGAACAAATTATTTAGTATACTTTGTGTTACTGGGATATTTCATATTAATCTACAAATCATAACTAAATCAGAATACAAATCTACTCATTACCTGACATTCCCTTAGGCAGGTTTCGGTCATTAACTCGTACATTTCGAACATCTTTCTGTTTCGTACTTGTTTATCTTGATTTCCTACTTTCATTTTTACTCCTATTGTGCCTTTATTTTCACGTAATTTGAGTTGTGATATTTTGAATCAATGCATCAATCACCCATTTAGTATGTTGCTGACCTTCATGCAGGATTAAAGGTACTACTGAACTGTTAAATCCGAAGTGACCAGATTGCGATGTGATATTTGATAGTATTTAGGGTTCTTTGACTTTTGGCTTACAGTACTGAATATCTTTAACCGGTAAGCAAACATTATGCATCGGTAAGGTTTTCTTAGAAAGTTACGTATTTTCCTCATGATCCAATAAAGCGGGACTCAAACGAACCCACTGGTGGGAAAACGGGTCCTTGAATTATTTATAAGAGCAGTGGCTGTGTATTCAAAGCGATCCAATTTTAACTAGTAGTTCCTAACTTCTTAATTTCGGGACAACCAAATATTACCAGTAGCCGCCACTTAAAACATTTTACCGAAATTCTAGTAGACGAGCCTATGTTCATTTCTAGGTTAAATCTAAAAACCAAACATTTATTACAGAAGTCAGCAAAATGGTTGGTCACAGTCAAATAAATGTTGGGAAAAAATCAATGTATTTATTGAATATATTCTAATAAGGTTCCAATAAATATGCGATTGATAGCATAGCTTGCATCATATTGAGGTTTCTATTTCCAAGTTGCTAAATAAACAAAATTAGATTGTCTTTTTACGGATTCAAAACTACAAACCTGAAAATAATGGATATTATTTTTCTGGTCTAAACAGTTCTAGAAACCATTAAATCTAACCTAAATGTGAATATTTACAAACTAACTTATAAAAACTGTATATTATTTACTATGCCTGTTAATGATTCAAACATGGTGTTTACTCACAAATTAATCTTTATTGTTTTTATCTGATTTTCTTTCCAGTCTCCCATGCCTTCAACTGAATCTTCACTATATGAAAGGTTGTAGTTGTAATGAATAAGAGTACACGAGACCGACCTTTACTTGTCTTTTGCCATTGTTCACCTCTTAGCCGTTGCCCATATTCCAGGTCTGTTTGTGTATCGTCAACAGGATGTTTTCATTCATTGCATTTGGATTTATCACTAACATATGTGGATGATGAGTCGTATGGGTGTTTTTCAAATAATACAAATCAGGTTGACTTACTCTGCCGAAATTCAAAAGTTGGTAGACAATTGTTATATTGTTGTTCTCCAGATGATGGGGATTTATGCAATCGGAACTCGAGTTTGCTAGAATTAATCAGTCCTATGCGAATGAATGCTCATGCCATTACATGGAAATCTATTTTGACAGCAGTGTTGTTCCCTACCTTTGCACTGTTTTGTGGGCTTCTAGCGATCATGCTTTTTTGGAAGTGCTTTTTAAAAAAACGAATAGAAAACTACGATCGCTATGTCGATGAACTTAGCTACAAACGTCCCACCTTCACTACAGATGTCTACAATTATCTAGTAAAACTCAATGAAGAACAGTTTTCGAATCGTAAGTTATCATCTTATGTCTCACCCAGAATGGGAAATAATCTTTCTTCAAAAAATTTGCATAATCCTGATCCTTCGTGTGAACTTATTAGCTGCACTAGTGGAAGTGGAAGCGGTCTTCCGTTCCTTGTTCAGAGAACTGTGGCACGTCATATTAGATTGACAATGTGTATAGGGAAAGGACGATTTGGTGAAGTTTGGAAAGCTACATGTCAAGGTGAAACCGTTGCTGTTAAGATTTTTTCTAGTCGTGATGAAGCCAGCTGGGCTCGTGAAACAGAAGTTTACAACACTGGGTTATTGCGTCATCCTAATCTCCTGGCGTATTATGCTAGCGACATGATATCAAGAGGTGGGTGCACTCAGCTCTGGTTAATTACAGCGTATCACGCTAACGGATCTTTACATGACTTCATCAGTCACAGATCATTAAAACTACAGGATGGTTTGCGTCTGGCCAGCTCCATTGCAGCAGGCTTGGCGTTTTTGCATACAGAAATAAAAGGATTACATGCTAAACCTTCTATTGCACACCGTGATCTCAAATCGAAGAATGTTCTTGTTATGAGTGATATGACTGCATGTATAGCTGACTTAGGTCTTGCCCTTGTGAATTTACAAAGTCTCCCAGTCGGACAGCCTTCCTCATTTATCTTCCTCAATGCTATCTAGTGGTGTTATGTCCAGCGGTATAACTCAATCAGACAGATTGTGCAGTGGACTTTCTGGTCCTTCTTCTTTAGGTCCTCCTCCTGCCGGACCTAGGGTTGGTACTAAACGTTACATGGCACCTGAGTTACTTATGGCGATTGATATAACACACACATCATCTAACTGCGGCAACAATACGTCATGTATAACTAATGAAAGTATTGATAGTCCAAACAGAAGTCACTATTTGCCATTTGAAGTTTACCAAGCTGCAGATATTTATGCGATGGCCCTGGTGTTTTGGGAATTAGCACGATGTACTCAGGGAATATCATCTGATTTTGTTGAAGGATATCAGGTTTGTACATTGACTTTTCCATACTTTGATATTCACTATTATTAAAGGCATTTTTTCTGTTTATCTTACTAATATGAAAATTATGTATTATAAATTAGTGCTGTCGTAAGTATACGAATTTCAGATCGTAATTATTGACAGAGTAAAGTGTTCTATAGTTCAATATTTTTACTCGTGTGCAAAAAGTTCTAAAGCACCAAATATATTGAAGAATAATAGTTTCTTAGAATTTGAGAGGAAAATCCGCTTTTCAAATAATCAACAAACTATGTTTTATCAAAAGGGATCATATTTATTTATTCGGTTTCGTGTGACTCACATTTTCGCAAATCTTTTTTATTTAAATTATTTATTTATTAAACACAAATATTGGTGCAAAGGGGTACCGAATACATATGCGCCACACAAGTCACTTGATTTGTGTGAGATATGACACTGCCCGGATGCCCAAACCGAAGTAGGTGGTTTTCTTAGGAGGCCACACCCGGAGTCTTCGACCTAAAGATTTGGTCCACGAGGCAGTGGAGTAGCGTCAGTAGATACAGTCCCATGGTAATCGGTGACCAACGAGTGGCTCACACGCCATTTGTTCCCTCAGGATCCTGTGTGGTTTGGAATCAGGGTTTTCCAACCTCTCTAGGTGGATCCTCTGCACCCACCACCCCGGTTAAAGTGCCGGACATTCGTTTTCGTCCTCTCAATCTCGTAAACAACACCCCCACCGCGAAAACGCAGTGAGGACTTCCCTAGCAGTGGTTGTATACGCGTAGCCATAAGAGAGCATTTCGAAGAGAGCTGACTCCCCATCCTTAGCCGCACCAGTGCATTCTGTATCATCAGTTTGAGTATTTTTGTTGATATAATCCCTAAATTGATGAATTTCATTATTTCTGAGTTCTTGTTTTGACTGTTATTATTGATGTCATCAGATCTTTTTCTATGAATATCCCCGTAGTTAATGAATATTTGTGAAATCTCAAGGGCAAAGCATAATAATTAATTACTTATTATTTTTTAATCCAGTCATGATTTATTAAGGCTCGAATACTAGTGAAAATCCATGAGATTTTACATTTTTGTTACGTAATGCTCTAGACAGCACTACGGTGATTCAAAGTTAAGGGTACATCACTGTGTTGCACCATCTCTAGGACCCTAACCAGGGAGTCGTGAAGGATCGACAGAAGCCAGTCCGTTACAACTTCCTTTCATATCATGACACTTTATTATTATTGTTAATGGCTTTATTCAAAGCCATCCTGCACTTCTTCATGTTTGCACATGTTGACAGATATTTGTTATGTCTGAACGGCTTAATATGATTTCTAAATTTTTAATGAACTAGTCGCTTATGGTGCATAAAATTGTTAAGCTCCGAGGATAGTAAACTCTGTGTGTTATGACATCAAGTAATTGCCAACAACTCAGCAACGTTTATTAGTAATTTTTTATGGTTCCTTATAATCTTTGTTTCAAATTTGAAACTTTTCTACAGATACCATTCTGCGACATGGTCCCTCCTGATCCAACCTTCTCACAGATGAGGGATATTGTTTGTGGCAATAGTTTGACCATAATTGATGATCAACCAAACCAACTGAACAGGAATAGCTCAAGTATAAACACTAAATCCCCCAAGACAAGTCCAGATTACGACAATGTTCATTGTAGGCCTCGCATCTACCAGCGTTGGTTAGATGACACCTATCTATCCTGCTATGCACAGGTGATACAAGAATGTTGGCATGATGATTGGTCTGTACGCCTTTCTGCTCTTCGTGTTCGTAAACGTCTGGGACAGATCGAAGATGCAGTTAGGCAATCATTGGTCAGAAAAAGAGGAGAGAACATTCCTTCTAATGTAAATGAGTTATCAGTACTCCTGACCGAGGACCCAGAAACTTTGGCTTGATTTTCACATTTTCTGATATATCGAAGCTTATCTTTGAAATTTGCATTTAATTTTAGTGTTGTAACTTCCTAAATATTTTCACTTAATAGGTAATTTAAGAATTCAAATGCTTTTCTGATTTTTTTGATGCCTAAGATAGATGATTGTAGATATATAGGTTTTACTGTTGGGTAATAATTTTGTGCAAGAAACTTCTGATGCTTTAGGTCGGTGCCAAACTTGCACATTAGCTACTGGCTTGATTTTGACAAATATATTTTTTCTGTTGTTTAGAATATTGAAGACAGCAAGAACAAAGATCTAAAATATTTACTATGTACCGTTTATATGTAAGTAGGCCTGTGATCTATCTTATCACCCTTCTATAAATGTACCGAACAAACAGTTATCGAATCTCACCGAAATACCCGATACTAGAAGGGTCATATTTTTCATAAAGTATATGTTTGTTAAATATTAATTAGTAAGTGTATATTTAACGGTAAGACGTTACGTTAATGGGTTGAACGCTACTATTGTTTAGGACTTGAAAAACATTCTACCCCTCCATGTAATTGGTTTCCTTCATAAATCTAACCAAAGCAAGGGCGTTGGTGTTTGGATCCTGTTATTAGGCGAAATAGTAAAATGTTTGGCCGTTATACGCCAATTCTATATGAGTACACTAACTACCGCTTTTAATGCTAAACCATCAGTAACCAAGTTATTGTAGACAGCGTAGGCGAAGCCGATTCGGCCATTCAAGTTAAATTTATTTTCGCAGAATGTCTTTCTAATGGTAATCCTTTTACATTCACCAAAGCGCTTGGTGTTTTATTTCTTTACAAATGAGTTTTGTTGAGAAAATCCATCAACAGCTATAACAGGAAGAACTAGTTCAGTAAGACAGTTGAGTACTACAGGGATAGAAATACACGTTTATCGAACTGCTACTACCTGGTAAATATGAAAAACAATAAAAGCTGCCACATATTACTAGAGCATCACCAAATGATAAGCTTCAGAAGTAACACAAGAAGGCTATCAGTCCTAATTTCGAAAAAGCACCCGTGAAATTAATCTTGGTGTGGGGTTATTGTGAGCTTAGTGCACTAAATACTTTTTCCCGGCCTCCTTAATCTCCAGGATAAGCCTTCTGATGGGTCAAGTGGGATTGGTGAGAAAAGACATTCGACCACACTAAGTATAGGAGGATATCTAGTGTGTAAAATTGATCCCACTTGTTGACTGCTTCACATTGTGTTAATTAACTGTAATTCTAATCTATGCTCGCTTAACTCGGTGAGTGTTGTAGGAGTAGGCTGGAAGAAAGTTATGGGCGGCCAAACCAAAACATGACATCAGACCTTGGAGACACTGAAAATGAGACTCAGACACATTGATAGATGAATAACATGGATCAAATCGTTCACGATGGTCCATGCGCAGCTTCTTTTGTTTTCCCCAAATCATGGGCTTTTGAGTTCCTCATAACTTTTTGTCTTTATTTTACTAATTCATACTTCCTTGGGTCGTTTCTTTGATCACTAGTCTTCTCTGCAACCACTCATTCTGTTACCTCTTCTATTCCGGGATTTATCCTGACGATTTCACCTTATGCTATTGGGTTATGAAGACTTGAACCAATGTACACACTTATCAGGTTCTGCGTCGAATCTCTTTCTTGATTGTTGCTTACTATAGGATTAGATAGTCAAAATCTGAAGACATGGTTATTCAGTAGTTATATATGCATTCTTTATGACAAGGGCCCTCAAAATAGCCTAGATAGACTGAAATATGGCTAAGAACAAGTTAGTGGTGCATATGCATCTTACCCTTCGTCTTTACTTAGTCTTATCCTTCACTCTTGCAACTCAAGCCAGGACTCAGGTTGATCATATCGCAGTCAGCTACAGCTGGAGTGGTTGTGTACAAGACTTATATAAACTCTAATTGAGCTAATCATACCTTACTTTTCAGTGGCCAACGAATCCATAATCATAAACAGATTGGCGTAAGTAAATTGGTTGCAGCTCTCGTTACAAATAAATATCAAAGCGAGCTAATGTTTGAGGTAAGTTATCATACCCATCGAAAAGTGCAGATCAGCACTAGCTACATTTGGATGACGCCATGAAAATGGGGAGTACAGTCACTGGTGGCTTCACGAAACGTCCGCCTATAAGTACTGGGATTTCTACAACCTCCTTATATTTTCATGAAGCACGTAGGTCTGCTCCGACCAGCTGCGAGTTTGACAGTAAACGTAAATTCTTATGTAGAAAAATTGTGTCAAGTTTGCTAGAGGACCAAAAAGCCTGGTAGTCAGAGCATGCTGACGGGTTGGAAGCAGCAATGACATTGTAAGTCATCCGAGTCACAGGCAACAAGAAGTCTGGTGTGAGTGAAAAGACCTGTGAAGCAGATTGGACGACAATCAATAACACCTACAATCAAGAGTCTTTCAAGGAACGATTCTGCCCTAATGACATCGGTTAGACTGTATCGTCTTCGATGGCCGGTGATGACACCCACCTAACGAGGCAGAGATCTGCAAGAAACTCACTCTCGAAGCACCGTAAACCACCGGGCTCTGACGACTTACCCGCATATCGTTTTCAGGATGTCGACACACCTTCAACCAAGGAATTTGACTGAGTTGTTTGGGCTTCCATCATACTCCGAAGTTTATAAAGAATTTACTCTCAAGAAGCAGGCTGTTTTTCGTCCTGCTCGGGGATGTACTGTTCATATTTTCGCTTTCTATCAAATGTTAGGAGACCTCTATACTTATTGCAGGCCAACAATCATTGGTTTCTTCATCTCAAGGCCGCCTTCGATCCGTTGGACGGTACTGTGCTCTAGGATTATCTGCTGAAGCATGTGCTTGGTAAGCTTCTCAAAATATTGAAGGTTCCATATACAAACACAACTCCGCCTGGAGTCCCTCCGAGAGCTACTGCCGGTCCCATGCCCGGATAAAGGAGGAGGGTTGGGCATGGGGTTAGCGTCCCCATCCCGTAGAAAACTAACTCGCTAAAAAAACGCTAACCAGAAAAAATTATTCAAACCTTTTAAACTCTGCCCTGGGAGTCAGAAGGTCTTCATTTAGAAGAATTATGACGCCTCATGATGAAAGCCGAATTCCTTCGGAAGTTACGAGGCCGATGCCCCTTCTGACAACCAGAGCGACCATTTATTTAGGTACATGGAATGTTCGTACAATGTGGGACACCGGGAGAGCCTTCCAAATTGCTGCAGAAATGAGAAGATACAACCTAGAGGTACTTGGGATCAGTGAAACACAAGTTGGACAACAACGACTAACTACAGGAGAGCTCCTGTTATACTCCGGCCATGAAGATGAAAATGCACCACATACACAAGGAGTTGCATTGATGCTGTCCAAACAAGCGCAAAATGCACTTATAGGATGGGAATCTCATGGACCAAGGATCATCAAAGCCTCGTTCAAAACAAAGAAAGAGGGCATTTCAATGAACATCATCCAATGCTATGCGCCTACCAACGACTACAATGAAGACGCTAAAGATCAATTCTACAATAGGCTGCAGTCAATCGTCGAGAAGTGCCCAACAAAGGACCTGACTATTCTGATGGGAGATTTCAACGCCAAGGTTGGAACGGACAACACTGGATATGAAGACATCATGGGACGACACGGACTGGGAGAAAGAAACGAAAATGGTGAGAGATTTGCAAATCTATGTGCCTTCAATAAGCTGGTCATAGGCGGCACCATATTCCCACATAAACGCATACACAAAACCACATGGACTTCACCGGATCACTCTACACAAAACCAAATCGACCATATTTGCATCAACAAAACGTTCAGGAGGACTATAGAGGACGTGAGAACCAAGAGAGGAGCTGATATAGCATCAGATCATCACTTGCTGGTCGCCAAGATGAAATTGAAACTCAAGAAGCACTGGACAACGGGGCAGACAATATCACAAAAGTTCAATACGGCCTTTCTTCAGGATACTAACAAACTCAAGATAGTCCTCAGCAACAAGTTCCAGGCCTTTCATGATCTACTCAATGGAGAAGGAACTACTGTGGAGAGCAACTGGAAGGGGATCAAAGAGGCAATCACTTCAACATGTCATGAGGTCCTGGGTCACAAGAAGCACCATCACAAGGAATGGATCACTGTTGATACACTGGATAAGATTCAAGAAAAGAGGAACAAGAAGGCAGCAATCAATACCAGTCGAACAAGAGCAGAAAAAGCCAAGGCACAAGCTGAATACACAGAAGTAAACAAACAAGTGAAGAGGAGCATCAGAACCGACAAACGTAAATATGTGGAAGATTTAGCAACGACGGCGGAAAAGGCTGCAAGAGAAGGAAACATGAGACAACTGTATGACACGACAAAGAAACTCTCTGGAAATCGCCGCAAACCAGAACGACCAGTGAAAAGCAAGGAAGGCGAGGTAATCACCAACATTGAAGAGCAACAAAACAGGTGGGTAGAACACTTCAAAGAACTCTTGAATCGACCAGCTCCACTGAACCCACCCAACATCGAAGCAGCACCCACGGACCTCCCAATCAATGTTGGCCCACCAACAATTGAAGAAATCAGCATGGCCATCAGACAAATCAAGAGTGGCAAAGCAGCAGGACCAGACAAAATTCCAGCAGAGGCACTAAAAGCAGACGTAGCGGCAACTGCAAGGATACTCCACATTCTCTTCAATAAGATTTGGGATGAGGAACAAGTACCAAAAGACTGGAAAGAAGGACTTCTGATCAAAATACCGAAGAAAGGCGATCTCAGCAAGTGTGATAACTACAGGGGCATCACTCTTCTCTCAATACCGGGAAAAGTCTTCAACAGGGTATTGTTAAACAGGATGAAGGACTGCGTAGACGCCCAACTTCGTGACCAACAGGCAGGATTCCGTAAGGATAGATCGTGTACAGACCAAATCGCAACTCTACGGATCATTGTGGAACAATCAATTGAATGGAATTCATCACTCTACATCAACTTCATTGACTACGAAAAGGCATTTGATAGCGTGGACAGAACAACACTATGGAAACTTCTTCGACACTACGGCGTGCCTCAGAAGATAGTCAATATCATACGGAATTCCTATGATGGATTAAACTGCAAAATTGTGCATGGAGGACAGTTGACAAACTCGTTCGAAGTAAAGACTGGTGTCAGGCAAGGTTGCTTACTCTCACCCTTTCTCTTTATCCTGGTGATCGACTGGATCATGAAGACGTCAACGTCTGAAGGGAAGCATGGGATACAATGGACATCTAGTATGCAGTAGGTCTCAATATACACAAAGGGAAAAGCAAGATTCTCCGATACAACACAGAATGCACCAATCCAATCACAATTGACGGAGAGGATTCGGAAGATGTAAGAACCTTTACATATCTGGGTAGCATCATTGATGAACAGGGTGGATCTGATGCAGATGTGAAGGCGCGGATCGGCAAAGCAAAGGCAGAATATTTACAACTGAGGAACATCTGGAACTCAAAGCAACTGTCAACCTACACCAAGGTCAGGATTTTCAATACAAATGTCAAGACAGTTCTACTGTATGGGACGGAAACCTGGAGAACCACGAAAGCCATCATCCAGAAGATACAGGTGTTTATTAACAGTTGTCTACGCAAAATACTTCGGATCCGTTGGCCGGACACTATTAGCAACAACTAACTGTGGGAAAGAATAAACCAGATCCCAGCGGAGGAAGAAATCAGGAAGAAGCGCTGGAAGTGGATAGGACACACATTGAGGAAGGCACCCAACTGCGTCACAAGACACGCCCTCACATGGAATCCTGAAGGCCAAAGGAAAAGAGGAAGACCAAAGAACACATTACGCCGAGAAATGGAAATAGACATGAGAAAAATGAACAAGAATTGGATGGAACTAGAAAAGAAGGCCCAGGACAGAATGGGTTGGAGAATGCTGGTCAGCGGCCTATGCTCCATTGGGAGTAACAGGAGTAAGTAAGTATACAAACACACGAGGCAGAAATAGGGCATACAAGCCCCTCTCCCCATTGTCGCATCTAAGCCGTGAGGCCAGGCAGGATTGCCCAGTCTAACCATTCCTCTCCAACTTTCCCCCTGACGTCATTCTGAAAACGTTGGCGGTAGCGTGGATGTTACCTGAGGGTCGACCGGAGTATACGGATGATATCGCCTTACTGTTAGGTAGTAACCTCATCATGCAACCCGTCCTTAATCAGTGTCCGTAGACATGGCTAATGTTTTCCTCTGCAAATTCAAAGTGCTTTTACGAAGCCCTGGACATGCACTCAATCCTGGTATTCGAAAAGTGACTGATGGAATCATTTTACATTTTGGGGAAGCTTTAGTGCCTTATGTCAACCCTGCTCATCTTAGGGTCATTATAATCCTAGTTTGGCTGTAAAAAGTGTAGTTTATAGTGCGTCGGCAAAGCAGTTTTATTCTATGCCTGTGGCCTCTCCGGGTTGTGGATGTAAGGGAACTCTGCGTTCGATCATGGTTGACTCTGAAATATTGCTAATATTCAGCGGCAACACCGTACTAGTAGCGCCGATGTTTCGTGAAGTGTGCTTGGACATAATGATTGTTCAGTGTGTCATCTTGAAACACCAACTTTGGTGGCTCAGACATTTACTACGAATGTCGTCTCAATGATTCGCATATTTTGCATTGCGTCCCGACTGTGGGACTGGTTGGGAAAAGTAGACAGGTAGTCAGTTTATGGAATGGGGCGCTGGCATAAGAGTAGGTGTATGGGAATGGGACTGTCCACAACTCTGGTAGGGGGTCCTAGAGACAATCTAATTTGTTGCCTTGAGACGTTATCAGACAAGTCTCAGAAGAGGTTAATGGCGATCCACACTTCTTTAGTTAAGAGGATCTCTTAGGATTGATTTTATCTCAACTGAACTGATTTTCCCATTAGTTTTTACTACTTCCATCCACTGATTCTTAATATTTTTTTAAATAATTACGCACACCTTTATCGCTTCTCTCCTTTTAGCACATATTTCCAAGCCCGTTTATACAAACATCTGTGTCCATCAGTTTGTCCGGTTGTGACTATCTATATCACGATATCAAACATACTGTCTCAGTATGGTATTCGACTGCCTTTCAACCATCACTACAGACCGCGGACGTCAGTTCGAATCTGAACTTTTCCGTCGTCTGATCACACTATTAGGAAGCACTCGCTTCCGAACGACCGCCTACCACCTACAAGCAAACGGGTTGGTAGAACGTTTTCACCGACAACTAAAAGCTTCACTATCAGCTGCAAACGTTTCACAGTAGACCGACGCTCTTCCACTCGTCTTACTAGGTATCCGCAATGCAGTGAAAGCTGACATTGGATACACTCCGCTTCAACTCGTTTATGGAACGACAATTCGACTTCTTGGCGAATTCGTGGATCCTTCATCCTCTTCAATGAGGATCTAACCTCCCGCACGAACAGGCTTACAAACACAATGCGTTCAGTTAAACCTGTTTCCACTCGACCTCAATCAACTGACGTTTTCGTTCAACCTGACTTATGATATAACACACACGTCTTCGTCTGTCGAGACTCGCATCGACGACCTTTCAAAGTTCTTCAACGCAAACCGAAGTACTATATAATCTATAAGGACGGAACCAACGATAGCATCAGCATCGATCGCCTCAAAGCAGTGTATTTATAAGGAAATCCTATCTACGTCGAATTTCCTTCGGTACAATAGAACGACACGACTCCGACACTTATAATACCTCATCCGACGACAACCAACACGCACGATGGTACTTCGACAGCATCTGAAAACAAACAACGCGTTCTAGAAGAAGAGTAAGATTTGCAAAACATTTAAATGACTATTGCACGTGAGACGCTAGTTAACATCTTGTTTCATCTCGATTTTCAATGGCATTATATATAATATAAAAAATCTTTAGTACCCTTACATTTATATTTGGCTAATATGCATATTAAAAAATTTTTTTGAAAAAACATTTTGTAAAATTCGCTTTTACGTTATCTACACTTTTTCGCCCATTTTGTGTCTTAAAGCGCATACGAACTTATTTTGACTAGCACTTACATATTCTTTTTCTATTATCCAAGACGGCTGGAAAAGACAATAAAAAGAGCGATGAGGTTTACCGGGAACCGAAATTTTCATTGTACATTATTTTCTTACTTTATTGTATTTCATGGTCCCTTATAGTAAGGAAAGACGACCAGACGCTGCTTAACTTAGCAAGCTATCAGAAGAGTGTTTACCAACGACAAAACTCGTTGGGTTTAAACTTCTGGCTGGCTACGTCTTAGGGTCATGACTAAGCCACTAGGGTGGGAGTGGTCTGTAGCGGTAAATAAATCCCCGAAATAAATAGCTCTGTAAGTTTCCGACATTCGATGCTGACCACATGTTTTAATGGACTCACCTAGCTGAAGGCGCTCGGTCATGCATCCGCACCAGATCACGAGTAAGAACGCCGTGCTTAACATCCACTACGAGTTAGTTTAGATGAATAGGGACACTAAAAGTAGACTTATAGTCCCCAACAATTAGTTAAAAGCTAAGCACACATGCCCCATTTAGCTTTCAAGTGCACTAACTGGGGCAAATACTACGAGACCTATCAAAAAGACAGTTCATACATGGATGATGCTGACAACTAACCGCAAGGCCTTAACTCGACGGGGAGGTTTCGAAACTCCAATATTTCACAAAGCGTCCCACTGCATCCAACTGATTTCGTGTAAGAAAATTACTTGACTTAAAGTAAGGTCCAACTTAATTTATTAGACTTTTAGTATAGTTTAAATATGGAAAAGGACGTAAAACTGACTGGTGAATAATTAGTTAGAAGTGTATATCTTTTCGGTTTTATGGCTGGCGTTTCAGCTAGACTATATAAAATAAAAGTTATTTAAAATTATCAGTAACTTTTCTTCCCCTCTAATAATTACTTTTTATAGTTAATTTTCCGTTTGAGGGACAGAAAGTTACAAAATAGTTTGTGGTAAATTATGTAAAATTGCTAACAAGCCTATTCAACCACATAAAGCAAACGTACAGTATGTATACAAATTCTTTAGCAGCATACAGATTCCGACAAAATCCAGATTACAAAAAAGGAATAACAGGTATACCTTATCAAGTTGAGCGACCACTGGATACACGGGGTCTGTTTGAAAGACAAATGTTAATCAACTTATTTTTAGTGGGCAACATTCCTCAGAGCATATATGATTCTTACCGTTATCATTTGCTACACACTTGATGATTTACAATAATAGTGCTAGTGAGTGGTTCCAAACAAGTGAGTAGGGTTTGAAAATGACCCTGATGTTATATAACCAGAATATAGGAAGTCAAGATCGTGGAGACAAAGAGCAAAAGCATGTGAGCTACGGTGACTAGCACTGAGTCACTTTATTTGCACCATAGTGTCGTTTATATTTATTGCAGTAATGTCTTAAATTACCCAATGTATTCACAAATGGGGAACTAACTCGGAGTAGTTTATGAAAAATAATTGAGATAACAAATTGGTGCAACATATCACGATGACGTTTTAGCAAGAGTAACATACAAACGAGTAACAAAAGATGTCTAACTAAACAACTCGGAATATCAATCCTAAATCGGTCAACTCCAATGACCAAAGATCACCTCTAGGTGGTCACGAGAAAATAACCTATATGGAATATAAGGTAAACCTGACAAAGACTAGACTAAATAGCTGAATTGACCAAACCACAAAATACTGGACCAACATTTTATTATAACAGACAACTATTCAGCAGCGGCTATTTCTTTCTTGAGTTGAGAGAGATAGTGTGCCTTCTTTTGTCGGACACGTTCCTTCCTTTGTTTGGAAGACAACTTTCTGCGATTGAATCTCTTTGGTTGAACCTCCTTCTTCTCCTTAGTAATATGTGTGGGGTCTGCTCGAATCGCTGCATGGGCTGAGAGGTACATTGCCTCAATTTTATCAGCAGTAATCCCATGTTTTATATATCCACTGAACTGACGCTGATAATCAGTTTCGCTTTCCTCTTGGAGTTGTTTCATATATTCAGCTACATGATGACCTAGAATACGGGCTCGGTGAACCTCGGCATTGTACTCTTTAGACGCCTGGTTGTAACCCGGGAATCTACTGGGTGAGTAAGGTATGTCTAGACCACCATCAACGGCACCTTTAAGAGCACCGAAGATATTGGCACCAGATGAAGTCCTTGCAAGACCAATGTCAAGATGACACCTGAAGGCAGACTTTTCCCCGTCAACAGATTCCACATGATATTCTTGCCCATCAACTTTCTCAGCTCCAGCATACAGACCATCCAGGCCTAGTTGCTTCAATACGCGCCTGGCACAAAGAAGACCTGTACAGTAGGCGGCGGAATAATTAGTCAGTCCAACCTTAACGCCATATCGAGGTAATTCGTGGGAATAGGCGGAGCACAATACTCGGTCTCCATCAATGCGTGCATATATAATCTAGTTGATATCAGTGAATAAAGTAAGACACTAACCTGACAGATTATGTCCTTATTAGTAAAACGGACCACCAGACGGTATTTAGGTGTATTGTATTTGTTTTTATCCTGCCAAATTAGCCGTTTGCGAGCATAGTAGTCAGTTTTTCCCTCTACATATTGTGTATGGTATACCTAACGCATTTCTTACCTCTTCGCCTTTTGAATTTGACTTGGAAGCGTTTAAAATAAGCCTTATTCTTAACAAGTTTCACTATGGCCTGAAGAATAACGAAGACAAGCAAATCTTACCATGCCTTCACCTTTACGCGCTCAACTGTTTGCGATATCTACTTGATGCACTCCAACAACATTCGATGTCAATAAACAACTTTGAAAAGTGCTGTAGTTATTATGATGGAGAGTAGCTTTGATTGTTTATGTTTTATGAGTATGAGCTCATTAGTGAGTAAAAAAAGCCTGATCAAAAGAAATTGTGTGTCAACCCGTTTTCAATGAAAAATGGTCATCTATAGATATCGAACTTTGGTAGTTCAAACTATCGGACCAATAGCTCTAGACCGTCCGCGTCTGAAATGTGTATAATGGTTCCTGAATATATGCTTTGGGAACCTGCTTATTTCGCTAGTTGTATTCACAAATAAACCTCATAGATTTCGTCCTCACTGAATCTCCCTTTTATGTCAACTCTCGTGAGCTGACAACAAGTCACATACATTCCATCTGAGTTTCAACCCACGGAAAAGCAAGCACTGCAAGTTAGTTGGAGTGACTCAGGGAAAGCCTCCAACTAACTTCTCTCATTACTGTTGGAGTTTAAGATTCTGTCGAGAATTCTTTTGAGAGGATCAGTAGATGGTAACGCACTCCTTTCTGAAAGTGAGTTTAACACACTATAGAGTTCTTGTCCAACCTTTTCATACTCTACTCTTCAGCACCACTTTCATGTGCGCTGTTTATTGGCAAAGTATTAAAGTGATCCAATAATATTAAGGAATTTAAAATTAAATGTAACATGGTACTATACGATGGTGAAGTGTCCACCCTAGGCTCATCCCACCATATGTATATCCTTCTTCAGACAAAGAAACATAAAACAATACATTTTTGGAAATTGTGCATTCATTGAAGACAGTTCTCGGCATCTTAAGGGTCGGAATACTCAAGGGTTTGGAGTGACATTGAATTGTAGCGTATGTTCTGTTTCCGAGCATTTTCATTGATGATATACACTCAAAGTATCAGATAGGGTGAAATATACTTTCATTCCAATATTAAGTGTGATCCAGAATTCTACTAGTGTGTCAAAGGTTAGAGTTCTATTACTATTTCCTACTAACAATTGTAGACTACATTGTAAAGTCTCACATGGAAGACAGTTGACAAATGCATTCTAAACGAGAATCGGAGTCAGACATTGATGGTTACTCTCTCGCTTTCTCTTCCTTTTGGTGGTCAAAAGGGTTATGATGACCTCCACATGTGAGGGAAAACACGGAATACAATGGACGGGCTGTATACAACCAGACGATTTGGACTTCGCTGACGGCCCGGCTCTCCTATCCCATGCACAAGAGCAAATGCAGGTCAACACAACCAGAGTAATGTGAGCACACTCAATCATATTTGATAGAGAAACTCTGAAAGAGGTGGAAACGTTGACTTATCTGGTCAGCAAGGAGAACCGGATGCAGTCATAAAGGCAAGAATTGGTAAGGTAAGGGCAGCATTCTTACAGTTGGAGGACATTTGAACTCAAAACAACTGTCAACCAATATCACAGTGAGAATCTTTAATACAAACACCAAGACAGTATCGCCGTACGAAGCTGAAACTTCGAAAATCACTACAACCATCGTCGAAAGAGTACACTTATTTATAGACATTCTTCTATGCAAGATACTCAATTTCCGTTGACCGGAAACCGTCAACAACAGCCTACTGTTTGGGAGAACAAACCATTTTTGTATCTGAAGAAGAAATTAGGTAATGATTTTGGAAGCAGACTGGACATACGTTGAGGAAGCCATAAAACTTCATCACGAAACAAGCGCTAACTTAGAATCCTGAAGGAAAACGGAAAACCGGAAGGTGATAGAACACACCGCCCTGAGAGTTTGAAACAGACATGAAAAAGGTGAAAAGCAATGGGAAAGAAACGGAAAGAATTGCCAGGACAGAGCTGAATGGAGAATGCTGGTGAGTGGCCTGTGCTCATTCACGAGTGTAACAGGCCAAAGTAAGTAGTGAGTTGGATCTGCAAGAAGAGTAAGTGTTTTAAGATAGTTAGTTTTATTGGAAACGAGATAATCGAATGAAAGAACAATAAACTGAGGGGTATCATCAAGTTGCAGGTCAGAGAGAGGATCGTTAGTCGTAGTTTCGCGAATACTCGTAGCATTGGTTAGTGTAAGAACTGTGTCGAGAGGGGAAGCACATTCAATACTTTCTTCATCATTTGTATTATGTTTGCTTGTAGAAAACAGAGAACTAATTCTCCTGATTCTTGGTGACCCTACCATCTTACAAAGACATAGTGTACATCTCGGGAGCAGGACCAAGGAGGCTGTCAGTTCTATGCATGCGACTAAGTAGCCGTCAATAATTTGAATCATTTTTTATATACGGTAAACGTGTAACATCTTTTAAGTATTTACTTGAAAGGTTAGTGATTTGTTTTTGCTTCCTTTAACCCGTGGAGAACTGAATGTCTATAATCATGCCTTCTTTGGTTACCAAGGTTCGAAAACATTCATGTCTGACACGTGGTAGGCCACATCATTTTTGATAATAATTTGCTCGCTGAACGCTACACAGTTACTACAGCGGGGTTTTGCGGTGACGAAAACTATAACAGTATTATCTTAGTCATTGTCAGCACAACTGTTTATGGTCAGATTTCAATCAACATTTTGATAGGAAATGGCGTCGTTTACACTAGGGTTACGTCCTTCTGGGTTCTGAAATTCTAGAGATTCAAGAGAGCTTATCAGTCGTAGAATATTTGTAACATCAGAGATTCCCAACGAAGTCAGGCTTAACTATATAAGCTTTAGGATTAGAATGCGTTTGGGACCTTGATGCCACTGGTCTTTAGCTAGTTTTCCTGCCCTTTACTGGCATGGCATTCTGTCTGAGAGAGTCCTAATATAATGTTCAAGCGTATTTGAATTGTCGTATGAACTAGGAATCACAGAATTAACACAATTGAATCAAGAATTAAGACACAAGCACAAACGAATGTATTGTATTTAGAATTCGAAATCGAGCATTCAACAAGTACAAAGAAATCATTAGTTCGTTCAAACACTACATCCGCCACAGCTTAAATTGGAGTCTAGGTGTTTGTAATCAATCGTACGTCTTCTTTTCAAATTTATCCTAAATCTGTCTGGCATTGTATTGGATAAGGATTCTGTATTATCTAGAATGTGCTCATTAGCATTTGAATTAACAACTGAAATTGGAACTGAATCACCTGGTTCCTGAAATTGTATTTGATCAATATGTCGACTGTATGCACTTAAGTCATTGATGTCTAGAATTCGCACCATCGATTTTCCAACATTCTTCAGATCAATACCCGTAGATGGTCGAAGATCATTTCCTCGATAGTATGTAACTTCGGCAGACTCCAAACATCTCATATTTGACCGAAGGATCCTTCCTTTCAGTAGCTTTGCTGGAGTCTCCTTCGTCACCGAATGTCTGGCATTTCTATATTGCAGTAGAAAGGTATCTACTTCCCTCTCCAGCTCATTAAATGTCGAGGCAGCTATAGAATAAATAGCAGTCTTTAATGTCGTGAAAAAATTCTCTGCCTGACAATTAGAACACGGATATCTTGGAGCAGTAAACAGATGTTTGCACCCTATACCGTTCAACCAGGTAGTGACTGCATTTGCAGCAAAGTGATAGCCATTATCAATCACTAACACCATAGGAACCCGTTCTCGACTAAACACCTTTCTTAATGCTTGGATTGTGAAATCAGAACTTGGTGAAGTTGTGAAAAAAACTTCAGGCCACTTTAAAAAAGAATCGATAACTACTAGTACATAGTATTTACCAAGAAACGGACCACAATAGTCAGCATGAATTCTTTGTCAGGCCTCAGACGATACTGGCCATGGCGTCCACTTTGAAGGACGATTTTTCAACTGATGACATTTCCCACAATTGTTTGCAGTACGACATATATCTGTATTTATCTCTGGCCACCAACATGTGAGCCTTGCCAAGGACTTCATTTTCTCAACACCTAAATGACCACTATGAAGATCTTCAAGAACAGATTTACACAACGAAGGAGGAATGACAACACGACTATTTAAACACAGAATACCATCAGGAGTAGTAGATAGCTCATCCCGTTTTGAAAAATGGACAGGAAATCTACGTTTCAAATTATCACTCCAGCCTTTCCGTATAGCACTGAGTATACATCCAAAATATCTGCGAGTTTCTCTAATGAGATCTGAACGTCTCACTGGTAAAGGTTGCACTAACAAACAGTCCGAAGTAATAATAGGTCTATCTTGTAATGACTGTCGAGAAATGTAGTCAACATGTTGAATTTGTTTGGCACTTCTGTGCTGAACCGTATAGTCATATGCACTCAAAGTAATACTCCATCGTTGAACCATAGCAGCTGAGGAACGTGCTAAAGATTTTTCAGGATGATAAATAAACTTTAAAGCTTCATGATCTTTAACAATAGTAAATTTCTTTCTGAATAAATATTTAGAAAGTCTTTTAACAGCCCAAAACACAGCTAATGCTTCTCGCTGAGTCTGTGAATAACCTTGTTCGGTAACAGTAAGTTTGCGTGAAACACAAATAACTGGTCTACCTTCCTGTTCTAAAACTGCATCAATTCCCACAGGTGATGCATCAGTAATATACATGGAATGTACATTAGAGGAGTAAGTTCGGAGAACAGCATCACTTTGAAGAAAATTCAGTAGATTCCGTAAGCATGACTCTTATAAGAACCATGAACAATGAGATCATCTCGATAAACTTCAACACCTTCAAGATCACTAACTACTTTATTCATAACTTCCTGAAATATGGCTGGAGAACAACTTAGACCAAATAAAAGGAAACTGTATTTGAACAGACCAAACGGAGTGTTAATTGTCGTCAAAATAGATGAAGATTGATCAAAAGGTATTTGAAGATACGCATATTTTCGGTCAACTTTCGAGAACACTTTAGAACCATGAAGTCGATTTAGAATATCTTTGTAATTTCTTGTTGAAAGACCTTTCATATTTATACGAGAATAGGAATCACTGTTAAACGAACGCAAGTTTGATTGACCCTGGGATTGTAGTTCATTATGACGACTAAGCAAAGTGTTAGAAATCTTTATC